ATAAATAAATGAATGAATAAATAAATAAGAAACTGCAAGCAAAAGATATGTAAAAACTGAGAAAGAGCCAAAGTCAATTCCTCCACACCATCCCCCTGCAGATGTTTTTGGTGTACTACCTGAGGAAAAATCTAAGCGAGCAATATCAGAGCCAAAACTTGATTTGAGGTGTCCAGTGAGATAGTTCAGTGAACTAAGTTCCTGCTTAGGCAAGCTCAGGGACCCAGAGTTCAGTCTCCAGCACCACATGCTGTGCACCAGCCCCAACCCCACGTACTCTGAACCAGCCACCAAGACCAGGTATGGCACATGCCTATAATCCCAGTGCTGGGAAGACTGAAAACAGAAGAATCACTAAGAGTCCAAGCTGCATAGTGAGATCCTGTACCAAATTTTAAAAAAAGTTTATTTGAAAGGAAGGGAAAAAAGGATTTACAAAAGGCAAAAAAAAAAAAAAAAAAATTGACACAGAAGATGAACAGTGGAAGTGCAAGGTGAATAAATGGATAACTAAGATGTTTAACTTCTACATATTTATTTATTTTGTATTCACTGTATAAATACATCTATTATCCTGAACAGCCTTATGTTTAATTGCTATGCCATTTAAAAGAAAAAAAAATTTTTTTTTAATTTTAGGGAAGGGTCTACAGGGTGTTCAGGGTCTCACTACTAGATCAGACTCATAGTGACCCACCTGTTTACAGTCTCCCAAGACCTGGGATTACAGGCATGCGCTACCCCCAGTCTCAGTTGCCGTCTCAGCGCACCCTGGAGGTGGGGTTGGCACGATAGGTCCAGGGTTCAGACCTCTGGCCCCCTACTGGCCAGCCCGAAAAATGATTTTAGATTCAGTGGTGTTTATCTTTTTTTCTAAATAAAGCACTGTATCACCAGAAAAGAAAGAATACTGAAGCACCAAAAGCTTAAAAAAATTGTTATACTAATAGGGCTGTGTAATAATAGCATTTAGTTCTGTAAATAATTGATTTAAGGATACACTGGCTGAGGGCTGTAGTAAAATCTCATGATTTTTTTTTTTTACAGTGATTGAGGTATAGGTGAGAATGAACATGAATAGTTATGTGGAGATCCTCAAATTTGAGAAAGATAAGAGTGTTGTGGTGTCACACGGTTGGGACATAATGCAGAATGAGAGTATGAAGCCTTAGTTGGGAAGAGAACCTTCCTAGAAGGAATGACACAGTGTATAAAACAGAAAGTGTAACATGGTATTTAAATCTACAGTAAACTTTTTCCATTGAAAAACTATAAATTGAAATAAAACATTGAACTGTTGTACCTCTGAAGAAAAACTAAATAAATTAGATAAATCAGCCCAGGGAAGAAAAAGAAGGGTCAGAGAAGAATTCAGTATTTCACAATCAGGTAATATCTTAAAGAGTACTTTGTAGGGAAGAATGAAAAGAAAAAATAGTGAAAATGTGTAGCATTCACCATATAAGATAATTATTAACTATGTAAAATAATTATGTATTATATAAGATAGTTATTTTATCTATGAGGCCAAATATTTCCTTTTGTGGAAAAGTGGAAAATGTGCCATATTTCTGCATAAAAACAGGGCCAGATTAATACACCAAATACTTAACACCTTTTGTGCTTTGGACTCTGTTTAGGGTACTTGGGAAGCATCATTGAACAAAGATTACTTTCATAGACCAGTTTTGTTTGTTTGTTTTGAGATAATGTTGGGCTTGAACACACTTTGTAGCCTAGGCTGGCATATATCTCAAAATGACCCTCCTGCCTCAACTCCCAAGGGCTGGGATGACAGGTGTACACCACAGTGCCTCGTTCATAGACCACTTCTCTAAGGTCATAGGTGCTGGAAAAGAAATCAAGTTTAGAAAAGAGATAGGCATCTGTAGATTTTTACTATACTTGACTTAAAAAAAAAGGTGATAGTGGTAAATAAGAGAGTATTCATTGTTTCTGGATCCTGTTGAAGCATTAAATATATTTGTAGGGCCAGGGAGATAGCTCAGTAGAATAAGTGCTTACCTGGCAAGTGCAAGGGTCTTAGTTCAATCCCTGGTTCCACAAAAAAAAAAAAAAAAAGGTATAGATATAGATATATTTAGTCTTATTGTATTCTTTCAGATAATAATTAGGAGCACTGTCCCTTGAGTAAATCTCATTACCCACCTGGGAGAAAGAATACCATTTGTAAAGGTTTGTGAGATAGCTCAGGTGACTAGGCACCTACTTAGGCAAGCACAGGGACTGGATCGGCTTCACCCCCAGGTGTGGTATGCCCACTACCACCACCACCTGAGACTGTGCGTGGTGGCGCACATCTGTAATCCCAGCACTGAGGAGACTGAAAACAGGAGGATCATTATGAGTCCAAGCTGCATAATGAGACCCTGTGCCAAATACATAAAAAAAAAACCTTTTGTGAAGTTATACTTTTTTTTTTAACCAAGAACAAAACTGAAGACCTTGTACTTGCCGTGCCACTGAGCTATATCCCCAGCCCTGTGAAGTTACACATTTCTGTCCTATTATATCCTGTAGGTCTGATTTAAACCAAGGTGACCCTGTTCAGGATCATTTACCATTTAAGAAGACTCTTTTGTTAGTATGGAAGATGGTTGCCAGTCACAGGTAGGTCTCCAAAATGGTAATAGGATTAGTTTACAACTGAGGTAGTAATACTTAGTAGGGATTAAGCATAAAAGAAGATCCCTTACATGATAGATGTGACACATATTTAGAACTGGCTTAACTTTAAGTATCTATAGTTGATTTCACTAGTCTGTATAAGACAGTTGCTGTGCTATTTGAATTGCCTCTAGAAATTAATTACTATTGGGGGCCTGCCCCTTAGCACAGTTCTTTAAGTGGCTCCTTCAACAAAGCAGTCAGGCTCAGGTTGCTGTGGTTCGATCCCCACAACTCAAGCCAGCCAAACCTGCCCTGAAGGCATTGGGAGCAAAAAAAAAAAAAAAAGAAATTAATTACTATTAAGACAACAATATGCAATGTATTATTGAAACTGTCTTACTATTTGGTTTTGAAACTGTCTCATTGCTATTTGTTTCTCAATAAAATTATTTTTATTTATTTATTTATTTATTTTCTTTTTTTTTGCTGAACCAGGGATTGAACTCAGGCTCTTGTGCTTGCCAGGGAAGCGCTTATTTTGCTGAGCCATATCCCCGGCCCCAAAATTATTTTTTTAAAAAATTAATTACTATTAAATATTTCATGTTTAAATGTGCATGTCAGGCCAGGGAGATAGCTTAGCAGTCTAAGCATCTGCCTGGCAAGTGCAAGGACCCAGGTTCAATCCCAGTACTGCATGCCCTGTCTGGCAGCTCTGCCCTGGAGTCACCCTGAAACTGGGTGTGGTGTCCCACACCTGTAATCCCAGCACTGGAGAGGCTGAGACAGAAGGATCACTATGAGTCCGAGCTGTGTAGCAAGACCCTGTACCAAACACATAAATTCCAAAAAAAAAAAAAATTTGTTTCCCCATCCTAATGGGGTGGGTTCTCTTTTTGAGGGATAGAGCTTTGACAACTTTAAAGAAATTTAGTGGATTATAATATTAGTTAAGTATTTTATAGTTTTAAAAAACTTTCTCAGTGGGAGGTTGAGGCAGAAAGTTCACAAGTTTGAGTCCAGCCTGGACAATTTAGCAACTTAGTGACATCCTGTCTCCAAATTTTAAAAAAGGGCGGGGTTAGCCTGTGCACAGTGGCACATGCTGTAATCCCAGCACTTGGGAGGCTGAGACAAGAGGATCACTGTGAGTTCAAGGCTGGCCTGAGTTAAAAATGAGTTTAAGGCCAGCCTCAATTACATAATGAAACCCTATCTCAAAAAGCCCAAAAGGAGAGGGGACTGGGAAATACATATGTCAGTACAAAATTCCTCAATACCAGCAAAACCCCCAAACAAACAAAAACAGTAAAGCAAAAACTCTAGAAAGAGGAAACTAATAGATTTCTTCCTTAAAGTATTCAGATTTTATTCCCCTAACAAATCTAACAAGAACTAAACCAAGAGTAAATTCTCTTGGTTTCTTTATCTCTCACTTTTTTCCTTAACAGGTTCAGCAGCCCATTTTTGAAACCTGTGTCAGAAAAGCAGGCCCCAGGATACAACGATGTGGTGAAAAGGTCAGTGGAAAGTGGTCAAGAGATTTTAGCTACTGTCTTAGTTACTCTTCTCTCATTGCTGGGACAAATACTTGGCACTCAAAATGAAGGAAGGAAAGGTTTATTTTGCTCACAGTTACTTGAGGTTTCAACACACTAGAGGAGAGGCTGGGGCACTGCTGTGTCCAGGATGACCCTCTCCACATCACCGAGAAAGCATGGGCTAGCCAGTTTAACAGTTTGAGCCTCTCTGGGCCCACCCCTCGGGCCCCACCCTGGTCCTCAGACCCCAACCCTCAAGCCACTTTTTGCTCTTCCAGCCACACCTGCCCCATAACTTACATGAGGCTTTGAGGGGACAACTAGACACAAACCATAACAGTTACTTTCATGCCTATTTTAATTTTTTATTTATCAACTATTAGATTATTTATATTACATACAAATGTTACAAGTTAATAAAGTTATGGTAAGCTCAGTGTCTTTATTTGAAAAGTAATATAGGGGCTGGTGAGATGGCTCAGTGGTCTAAAGCACCTACTTAGAACAAGCTTAGCAAAGCACAGGGACCGAGGGTCAATCCCCCAGCACCACGTGCCAGCCAGCCCCGCCCCCTGGTGGGCTGAGCTGGACACATACACACACACACACACACATATAAATAAAATTTGAAAAAAAAAATCAGAATTTAAAAAAAAAAAAAAGAAAGGTAATATAGAGAACAAAAGGATGATTCAGGCTATTTTTTTTTTTTAATATTGACCTTTAAAGTAATATGACTCATTAATTATATTCTTAAATTTTTTTTTAATATTTATTTATTTTTATTTATT